TGTGTGTGTGTGTGTGTGTGTGTGTGTGTGTGTGTGTGTGTGTGTGTGTAGTGTAAAAACATTTTCATTTTAATAACAATATTAAAATTTCATTCCAACGCACTGAAAACTCATTTTTTAAGCTTTTACAAGAAGATTAAAAAAATTAATGTTTCAATTCAATACGGAATTGATCAGCGACTGAGTCAATTTGATACCTGGGTGAGTCGCATAATCAAATCGCAATCAGTGGAATTGAGAAAACCGTCAACTGCGTAGCGATTTCTCCCGCCAAGCTCTTTTTCTCCTGCTATCAATCGCACGTCGTCCATGACTCTTAATCGTTCCGTGGCGTGACCTCCTTCTATCTTCACTTCCTCGTCTCGGAACGTCGATAGATTACCCATAAATTGCATTCGAATAGATGGCGAATGACCTGGAGGTGGATGCAAGATTGTTTTCGAATAAGAATCCTAGAGAAATGAAAAATAAAAGATGTATAAAAAATAAAACAGATGATATTACGACTTTGGAGATGCAAAATAGATACATTTTTGCTATATTATTCATACCATTTAAAAAATCTCTTTGCGCCTATTTTCCATGTAAATGCGAGCATTAAAGTAAAAAGGGTTGCATTTAAGCAGGCGATCGAGCGGGAGAGATACATGTATGTGATATTCTTTAATTAAGATTTTTTTATTTATTTCATTTTATCAATTATTTTCATTTTATTAAATTGCAACAATAAACGTATATTTATTTTTAAATATTTTATTGCTTTTCGAGTACAGATGTATAACACATAGTAAAAATATCTCGTTGTTATATTAAAGCTGGCAATGGCAATGTATTCGACAGGAAAGTTTACTGATCATTTCTAGCTGATTTAAGCACGATGCGTAATGGTCAAATTGACTTGTGTATACTCCTTCAAACAAAAATCGAAACTTATAAAAAATGTCTTATGCTTTTCGATCATGAATCAATTAAATGGATAATCCCATAAGATATTATTGTTATTTGTAAGTAAAAGTATCAAGAGTATTTTCTTTATAATATATCTCGTTTTTTACCTTCTCTAATTCCTTTTTATCGGGTCTCTTCGTGTTTACATTTTTGAATGCCTTAAATCTGGCGTCAATTGCTGTAAACTCTTTCGATATGTAATGTAACAACATCAGCTCGTATTCTTGTCGCTTCACGTAAGAAAGGGCTTCCTAAAAACAATTCTCATTATATTCATTGGTTTGTAAATTCTTTTTTATTTATTTAAATATGAATTTTACTCATTTTGAATTATGAAAATCTAGAATCTTTATTTTAAAACACTAAAAATATATATTGTGCACATGTAAATTTTCTCAATGAGTGCATTTAGCAGAATATTTATTGTAAAATTGTTGAATATTTTCTGTGCTGAGATCGAATTATTTTTTTAATCTAAAACATAATCTCAGTATAAAAAATTTTTAATAGTTTCCAATAAACATTCTGCTGAATACGGTCACTGTACAATAGACAAAATAATTTCTTTAGTATTAAAATTGTATGTTTATTTCATTACTCCAAAATTCGTATACTTTTAACTATTATTTTTATATACCTCTCTTGGCGTAAAGTATTCTTCTTTTACTTTAGGTTGAGAATTATAATAATCTTTATTATGAAGCATTGTCTCATCAGCAGGTAGAAATAATAAATAACTTGCAACTGCTGCACAGGCTGCTTTCAAATTACCCCACTGTGCATATAAAATTAAT